TACATGAACACTGGGGGCTTGAATGTGTGATGAGAGAAGAAAAGAAAGTAAAAAGGCTTGGAAAAGCAGCAGAATATTTGAACTGCAAACTATTGAACTAACTTGATGGCGAATGATCTGTCGCCATGGCAACGGCATTTGATGACACCCCATAATACGCTTAGATGCGTTGATGGCTGCATCGTTACCAAACCTGTGAAATGATGTTGTAAACAATATTGAAATATTATATATATTTTTCAGAACAATTAAAAAGCTCTTAGCTTGTAGTTAAAGGGAATCATATGCATATGGTGCTAAACTGAAAGTGTACAGTGTCTTGTTAGATATTAATTTGTCTGCTTTGAGCTGTTAAAATAGAATCTAAGAATTAAATAGTCTCCCCTTATTGCACTTTTTAACTGTTATTTTACCTTTATTAAAATCTAAGTCACAGTAAGCTGTCCCAAATAAACAAACTTCAAATGACTTTGGCCTTCTCCAAATGTTGACTGATTGTCGTTTTTGCTGTGATTTATAAGACTAGAATTACAAACACAAACAGTTTTTCCAGAACAACCAAATCTTTGGATTTTGTATTTGGCTCTAAAAGTTGTTTGCAATGTGGCCACACATCCTGGCTCTCAAAGAAATCCAGTAACTAATCTCTAAGTCATGTAAAGTATTTGCTCAAGATTCCGTTCAGAATCAGATAAGATTGTACGTGTAAATATCTGGCCCATTGACCAGTGTACTACCCGACTACAGCAAAAACAATTGAATAAGATAAATCTGTGGTTTGTAGAATTATATATTAATGTGCGGTGTACATACATGACTTTTCAGGAAAAGTAGCCCATCAGGCGGAAACATATTGCTGTATTAAGCCACCGGGGGAGACCATCCATATTGTTTTAGAGCTCTAAAGATACCCTGTACAGTTTCATTTATTTATCCAAAGGCAATGTATTTGCACAGGGGTCCCGTGCAGATGTTGTTCCTCAGGCTACAAGCCTTATAAGAGAGGACACTTGCACATCTTCTTCTTCATGTAGACCATCCTTTACCAGTTCCCTCAGGCGCTACAGAAGAGTTTCTACAAATACACAGCTAGCATGAGAAAGTGCCTGAGAGGTGATTAAAGGTCTGTGTGCCTGTTTGTGTGATTGCTTTATGGTAATCCCTTACACTCTACACATTTCATTCGTTTTTAATCTGTTGTTCATGCAGATTTCCTTTCGCTACATTTCCATAAGCAAAACAATAAGGTTTACTTAGGTGTGACATGGGATTAAGCTCAAGTTTTTGTAAGCCATTAACAATCTGCCATTGCACTTTTGAATGGCCTGTGAAGTGAAACACTCCTGAAGATGTTTTTAAGAATATCTGCTTTTCTCCTCAATATTTGGAATTCATTCTGAAACACATTTATGGTTAAGGTTTATGGTCCCACTCTGTATATCAAGTTATGGTTGGCAATGGTGGACTTTAGTGATCAAAGTTCTTATTTCTGCTTCTCTATTTTTGATTTTTTTCCTCAAATTTTGGAACAATTCAATCAAAGTTATGTGAGGTCGTGTTCGCTTGGCCTTGTAATTTCCCATGTCTATCTCCTTTATAATGTCTTCATGCCTGAGGAACAAAATAACATATTTCTGTCTGTAAATATTGGTATCTCTCTGAGGTGGAGGTGGATGTGGAGCAAAATAAAAAGACATTCCTATGACCTTGTTGCTTTCGGCTGCCTTAAGTGCTCTCCTGGGCTCCTGAGGCCCTGATACTGCAGGAAAGGAGTTTGGAGAAAATCAAACAGAAATCAATAAATACACTAACCTCATTCCCCACCCCAATCACAAAAGCCAACCGTTTACAGTTTGTCTCAGCGATTCAGGTCTAATCTTTTTTGCCTGACCTGTATCGTAGGCATTCAGTGCATAAGACACAGAGAAACCTACCTCACTGTATAGCTATAGGCTCACTGGGTTAGGTCGCTGTTTTTCTCCCCTTGCAGTGATTGCATATATCAAAAAAGTATCATTCAGAATCAGAATTTGAAAACCACTGCAGGGCTGCAACTAGTGGTTATTTATTCATCAACTTGTCTGCTGATTACCCTCTCAATCAATCAGTTAAATGTTTTAGTATCAGATGTCAGAAAACAAGGGGCAAACGTTTGTTTTCACAGTTACGATGACCTAAAGCCTAGCACGATTTCTCCGAATCCATTGTTTTCTCACTGAAAACAGCAATGATTTTAGGCTGTAAATAGCTGCAGCAGTCAAGTCATGGTTATTGAATGCCATACCCCATTTATTGGCTTTTCTTCACTCATAGTTTAAACTAAATGCAAGCCTCTTATTTTTTAAAGAAGCACCTCCGTTATTAACCTCCTGGAGTAAAATTTTTGCTAAGAGCACAAAAAATGAACCCTGCCAATGAATATTAATCCATTCGGAATGAATTTGCATTTAGCATTCCTTTATTCTTCACTCACTTCACTGTTGGTCTGAAAATGTAAGAAGCACTCACTCTAAAGCTCCTGTCAAAGACTAGTTTAACTTCTTCATTAATGAAAAGAACATTTAAAAGTTGTATGTGCTGACACACTTTCTGCCTTCTGTTTTTGGGAAGGAATTCACTTGAGGTGAGATTCATTTTTTATGAATGTGAATTTGTTAGGCATTCATAGAAAGATTAGGAAAAAAAGAAGAAAAATAGAACACATGAAACCTTCAAATATTCCGTTACAAATGCTGATGCACAGATAATAATTAAATCTGCTTCTTGCAAAAGCATCCTGAATGTTAACCAAAAAACAATCAACGTATGTAAGTAACTAAGTGGAATAAGGTGTCAAGAACTACAACAAAATCAAAAATGTTAACAATGACACGGAAAGTAGATCTCAATCTTAACAAAAAAAGATCATCAGAAAGCAGCCACATCTTTTTTTTTTCAAGTCACAATAGTACACAATGTGGCAGAAGTGTCTATTAATGCCTTTTAGGGGTAAATGTAGTGCTTTTAATGACCATCCTAAGCAAAATTAAACTTGTGAGTGTATTTCTGCTTGCATGCGTGCACCTCAACATGCCATGTAGTGGTAGCTGATGAGGAAAGCCAATGAGGATACACAGATGTTCCTCTAGGAAAAGTGCACAAATAATTGATGCTTCTGAAATCAATGAAACTGACAATGTTTTTTCTGCAGACGACACCAATAGAAAAGTCACTTCTGTCATAGATGGTGAGCGAGATGATTGGCCGAAGTTTAAAAAGAAGTGAGCTGTCTACTAAAAAGAATATATCTTATGTTTGTCTGTCAGTCTGCAAGCCTGATTATCAGATGCTTCGTGTGCGATTTTTCTGTAACTTAACTGTCAGCATCTCACTTCTCACGTCAGCAAGGGGCGCAGGGACTCCGATCTCCCAGGATCTGGCAAGAAATGATAACAATCTGAGCTTCTACTCTTGGAGAGATGTCATGAATTTGCCATGGTGTATGAAATGATTGATGGTCTTAAATACTGCAGTGTGTAGTTAGAGACAGAGAGATGAAACACAGGGCTCAAAGAAGCAGAAATAGTGTGAGGTGTTAAAACACAAGTCTTCGTCATAATAAAACCATTCTTTATTTCTCACGTTATGTACACATGCAACACCCTCTGAATCAACAGTCATTTCCTCCATAAGATAAATAATATTACTTGTGATTAAATGTAGAGTATAGCATCAGATGATTATCAAAATGTCATTTATTTATTTGTTGAATTGCATCAAACCACACCTCACTTTGGCAATAGTAAAATGGACACATAGCAATGGAATCGGACAATTAAAGAGCCAATTAAAATAGGTTACCTTAAAATAATTGATCCTGTTGAGATGCACTGTACTGTGCTGCAATGTGATTGAAGCATTGCTTGACATTTAGCATAATGCCAAAAGGGTGAAAGTAACAGACATTGGATGAACATGAGCGGAATTACAAAACATGGTGTATGAAAGGTTAATGAGCCCAGAGAACTAAAGTGGTAGCTGTCATGTGAGACTTCCCACTTCAAGAGGAGTGAGATAAGTAACAGAAGACGATCAGCAGGCAGAGTGTGGAACATTCATGGAGACAGATTGTAGGCATCTCAGATGAGTTGCATCACATTTGGGGTGTGAAGACGGGAGAAAAGGGTACATGTTTGTTTAGTTGGTGTAGCGGTGAGGTTCCCACACATTATATCAATAAATGTTCTCTCACTGTTGACAACACACTGACTTATGGGATTATCGGCATGTCTGTGCTTGTATCCTACTATAGTGTTTCATCATGTAAATGTGTGGGTGTTGTTGGGAAAATACTGAACGTACTCTTCTAATATCAGAGTAGCGCATGATAACAAAGGCCCTACGTAGCTGTGTACGTAACCGGATGTATGATTACATAGAAGAGCGTCAGGACACACTGTTTTAGGCATATGATAGCTACGTATGTGACAACGATTAACATGATGATTCAGCCTCTGTGGATAGAGACATACTGTCATGTGTATTGCTTACGCAGGCCTTAGCTAATCTGAACTAAGCACAGAATACTGCTTTGAACCAGTATTCTGCATATTGGGACTGAATAACACCCTCTCTTGTATTAGAAGGACACTGTTCGGGAACTATTTTGTCCCATGCAGCTATGTATGTGATCACTACTTCCATTCTAGCAAGGATAATAAATACATGTATCCTGATATTGAAGCTCAAGCTGGTGACGAGTGATATTTTCCTAACAGGTGTAAACACAGAGAAACATTTCCAGTGTTAAACAATGTTAATGGGACTCTTTTTTTTTTTTAATCATTTATAGTAATACAATTGCACCTTAAATGTTCCACTATTAATTTGACTGAATTGTGCAGCTTCATCCCTAATAAACACCTCCTTTAAAGGAACCCTATATGTTAGTGTTATGTATTATTTATGTTTGTCTTAAATAATGAGGTTTCTTTTTAAATCACCAAAATTATCTCTTGCAGGAAAGGCGGCTGTGTGCACACCCATTCCTCGAGATCTACCGAGAGAGTCAGATCCTGTTCATGGCCCCCTTGGCCCGGCAAGACGATTTCTATGTGCGAGAAGTCCGAAAGGCAGAGAGGAGGCTGTCCGAACAAGAGGAATTGCACAGTGACTCAGACGTCTCAGGTACGTGGACTTCTTGCTGTACTACATAAGAACATAATTGTCTTTTGTACGAACAGGCTCATAGGCTATTGGTGTTCAAAGCCCTGCTAATCTACACAGGACAGGCTTGTGAGTCTTACTGCTGGAAAACATGGGCAGTGTCGCTCAATAACCATAATTATTATATGATGGTAATTGGAAATAAAGCTTAGTCCGTCTGTTTGTTTGTCACTGTTGTCACCAAAATGCACCCCTTGAGTCAAATTTAGTAAATTATTATGCCAACAATTGCAGTTTAACTTTTTTTCATTTTGATTAGTGCCAAACATCTTTAAAACAGATGTCTGCAGTGCAACATTTATGGTTATTGGATTAAGTCAATCCTGAATCAAAGCGATCCCATTTTCCGTTTTTTGGCCACCTGACAAATTGAGGTCCAATTTTCTCTCTGTTTTGGCAATGCTAGTGGTTCCAGAAATGAAGTTGATGAGAGCAATAAGAGTGAACCCAAACATCAAAGTTGCAGGCCGTAGAACAAACTGAAACTGCTAGTAACTCTTTGGGGAACTGTGATAATTATCTTCTGTCACAACAACTGACCCTTTTTACTCTTTGTAAGTTTACTACTTACATCAATCATTGTTGCCATAAAAACATTGATAAGTGGTGCTTTAAGCATTTTAATAGCAATCAAGACACATTTCAAAACATTTGAAATTGGCTATAAATACCCTAGAATTATATATAAAAAGCTTTCAGTCAGAAGGTTTTCTCCATCAGTTAAATCTAGTCAGCCACTTTTCATAGCCTTTAGAAAGCAGCATGTTAGGCACCTGGGTTTTGGCTTAGGCAACAAGCCATGGAGATGCTTGGCTGGGACCCAGGGGAATTTGACCCTTTTGCTACTACTGTTTTGTTTATGAGCTGCCCTGCGGAAGCATATTGTGATTGACACCTTCCTAGGTGTTAATGAAAAGCCTGGATACAACAGCTTCAGGTGCAACTGTGCAGCCACTCACCAGAGGCTGTCCACAGCTATACGGACACCACTGGGAGTCTTGCTCTCAATATTAAAGATTCACTTTAGCACAGTTCTACTTGACATTCATTCACCTTCACGAGATGTAATGCTTGTGAAGGAGTGTTTTGAAGAGTCAATTTGAAGTGAGATGAAGCAAGTCTAATCGTGAGTTGTCGTGGATTGTGAAAATAAGCCTTTTTGATGATAACAGTCTCGTAGCACCTTCCTGCTTCCAGCTGTTTGGCAGAGGCCATTTTGGCCATCAATCCAAATATAGCCCAGCTGAGACTTCAAATACACATATACACAGAAATATAACCACATAAAACACAACAATTGACTCAGGGGACAACATGTCACAGTATATATTTCATTATGAACATGTTGTTGAAAGAACAAACTGAAAACAATATCAGCAGCGCTCTTGCGGCTGGTAAGGACTCATTTTGCGTGAAAAATTAATGAGTCGGTCACCCCAACACGTGTTGTTACCCTTATATTTGTTTGACCCTTGACATTGGCGTCACATACAGTGCCTTAAAAGTCCATCTGGATCTCCTCTCTTGCCTCAGAGATGAGCTGAATGTGTTGTTGTCACGTTCCCTGCTTCTTTATGTGTCATGGGTGCAGTGCAGAGTGGGAACGGCATCTGTGTCCATGGCTGGGAATGGTAATGTGACAGGCAGCCATGCTCCTGTCACAGTAGCATCAACTGGACCAGGTCAGTGGAGCATTCAGGAAACTGGAGGCCTCCTTGGTCCATTGACCCCAAACAAACCCATCTGATCCTCACTACCCCCCCATACCGAGCCTGTGTGACCGGATCAACCCCCAGACTCATCATTCTCGCCTGCTCACTGTCAGACAGCGATGTAGAAAATCATCATTCTCTAACATTCTCTGAGGATCAACACAAGTGTCAGAGTTGATGGCAACATTTCATTCTAGTTGGACTTTAGCAGGTTTACTACAAGTATGTGTTAGTTGTCACCAGAGATATTTAAAGTCTTATGTAGCCAGCCAATGCCACATATCAAGATTTGTCAAAACAAGTATAGAATGAATTCTCAAGTCCGAGTCACACATTTTCTGAATTAAATTGCAAATCTGTCATGTCTCACCATTAAAAATTATTAAAATTACATTTTAAGATTGTCCTCTTAAGGAACAGTTTGACATTTTGGGAAATACATTTGTTGTTATTTTGCTGGATGAGAATATACCAGACTCATTCCTGTCTGTTAAATTAAAAGCTGTTGCCAGTAGCTTTTAACTTAAAGTTGGGGTAGGTAATTCACTTCAGAATGCTCTTAACATCCCGATAGCAATGAATATCTTAAATGCTTTGACAAAAAATCCATAAAAAAATTTCATCTGTGGAAGCCGTAATACTGTAAAAAGCACGACCGGCACGGCTAAAATGACTGGATGGCCTACCTGCCTGTCAGCCTTCCATCTCGTGCACAAACTTCTCTTGTGCCCTCATTGGTCATATGCGCGTTCGTGTGTGTTGGAGGAGGGGCTCTGTAAGGAAGTCTGAAGGAAGGGGCAGATTTTTTCCGGTTGTGTACTTTCAAATTCTAGCTGGTTTCTCCATTCTTACCCTACCTTTAATTCAGCAATAATTGCTGTGCAGGGATAAACGGCTACTCTTACCCCAGAAAAACAATTCTCAAAGATCTACCATTTAACTACCATTACCATTTAGTTATATTTAGTTTGTTTAATCTGTACACTAACAGCAATGAAGAAAAGACAGGTTGTGTTTTTAGAGAGTTACCTGCTATGGTATATTTATTGGCCTGCTGCAGTGACTTCCTCAGTGTCCTCATCCGAAGGTTGCCAGGCAACAAGCAGAGAGTGACCAATTAATAATAGTATGTTAAATAATGCGCTTTTGAAAGGGCTGGTCAGCAGATTCTTTTTAAACTTTGGACACAGTCTGACTGTTTCTCCCTACTTTCAAACGTTCTGCTTTAGCTAACTACTTTACAGACATGCGTGATATTCTCTAGCGTATTTTCTAAAATCAATGAACTACTCCTTAAAAGCTCCTTTAGACAACAGTGGACATAAGCCTTCATATGAGAATGACATTCCTAAAAGATAAGGGTGAGTTTGCTCATCTTAACCTGCTGAAGTTCTGCAGCAACCATCTCTGTCTCATTCCAATAATAAAAGATTTACTGCCACTCACAGGCATGTAGAGACCAATGCCTGAAGGCGCTATTAAACCCCTCCAATCAAATGCAGCGAAAGTTTCCACCTTAAGAAAATCAAGCTATCATTCCTAATGTCTCTTCTCTGAATTTTCTTCCCATTGACTGATTTAATTTTGTGTCTTGCTTTAGGCGTTGGAAAACCAACACGAGACCTAACGTGTGGTCTATTGGAGCTCTGTATGCATATTTTAAATGTTGTACTTCATTTAACTTTTGGCTACATCAATCTCATGCACCTGGGGTGGATGGGAATTAAGCAGAAGGAGCTTGTGCCTGCCATTCAAATATGTATGTTTTTATTTACATTGTTTATATTATAAAGATAAATAAGAGTTATTTATAAAGTGTTCTTTGCGTTTTCATGCATGCAACTGTGAAATTCATCATAGTCTGATGTAGTCAGATGCAATGTTATCATCTGGAATAAATAATATGTAATTTAATCAGCTGTGCAATGTACATGCAATTAGTTTGAGTTCGAGCTCCTGTTTGTTCCTTCCTGGCCCCAGTCTCATATTCTTTGTCAACATGATACGACACTGCAATATCTCTCTCATCTTTTTCTAATATCATATTGCGGGTGTGTGGCACAACGGTATGCTCCTTAAGCTCTTCTATGTTTTGACTAAGTGCATTACAGCACTACAGCGAGCATAGTGCTTGCTCGGAGTCTCTTAACTTGAGCTCAGAAGTGTGACACTCAAAGCGTCCTTAGAGCGTATAGTTCTGTTTTCTATCTTTGAAGTTTAATAAGGAATAACATTCTTGCTTTGCCGTTCGGTCTCTCAAGAGCTCCTCGCAGTAACTGACCAAGTGAGCAGCAATTTTTATTTGTCGTATTTCTTTTTGGAAATCTATGACTTTCTTTAGGTTACAACAAGTGCTTCGATGAATTTAAGAGGAAATACATTTGTTGATTGTTAGTTGGTGATTTTGCAAAGTGGATTTGATAATTTATGAAAACTTTTGTATGAGCTTAACCTATTATGCAAAATACAATTTTCCATGTCTTTTATACATAAACATGTGTCCCCTCTACGTTTAGAGATTCTGAAAGTTTCAGGAAAAAAGATTTGCTCGCTTTTTGAACCTGTCTAACAATGAACTGATCAGATTTTGGCCAATTTATGATGTCATAACGATTTTTTGGCTTGTGTAACCATTAGCCAATCACCAACCAAGGTAACCCCCCCCCAACTTTATCCCCTGAATCTCCTCCTATACGGCTTTCACACCAGCGCATTTCCCTTTCTAGCTCCGAGCTAGAGCTTTTCTGGTTCAGCTCCGGTTTCACTTTTCTGCTCCCGCTCTGTTCACACCGCCCAGAGCCCGACTGGTGCTGCCGCTGCTGCGTCATGACGTCACCGTTTACATCGCTGATTTGCTCCCCAACGGCGCTCACAACAACAACAACAACAACAACGGGGGACTGCGTCGGGTCGATGATCGTGTTGCTTTTAATCATACGAAGTCAGATTAAATAAAATAATGACTTCTCCAAGCTTATACTTTTCTCCAGAGTACCGCTACAGTGCTGCTCGTCCACTGGAGTTTATTCTCCCGTTAGCTCCGGGTTAGCTAATACTTTAGAGCGGCCTCTCTAAAGTATTCACTGTCTGACTGTCACACAAGCAGCTGATACATATCCCCAATTCCCCTTAAGTGAATGTGTGTCAGTCTGAATTGACGCTGTTTGGCATCACAACGCTGTTATTAAAGTGTCTCTTGTATAAAATGGGTGATGTTAGCATAGCAACCGAAGCTAAACTGACTACTTGCTATTGCTATCCTATTGTGGCATAAGCCGTTTTCTACAGGCACATTTTACCGGCGTATTTTTCATTATGATTCTACTTGTGATAGTCGGACATGACAACCTGTGCAGTCCATGTATTGATTCCATCCGATAGCTGCTATAATACAAAACAAAACGTCTGCCTCTCTCCACAATGATCAATAACAGTGAACGGATGGTCAAAGTAAGGTGCAAATAAACAGAATCACACGAAGCCTGGTTAAGAGGCGGACGCCGCTGCGGTGTGAACAGGAAAAACCGGTACTTTTTAGGCTCCAGCTCCGAGCCGGAGCTGAAAACGCGTTGGTGTGAAAGGGGCACTAGAGCACCATTGTGTTCTTTTTAACAAAATATCTCTCAGAGGGGAGTGGCTCCTTATTTTCATCTAAAGTAACAGACAGAGAATCAGCACTTTTGAAACAGGGCTGAAACAGAGGGGATTATGGGATGCTGCAATGATCTGTTTGGTATTTGGAGCCAAACACTTCAGAAACATGTTTTGTATATTTCTGTGAACTGTAATATAATATATTGATGAAAAACAGTATGATAGGGAACCTTTAAAGCTTTATACTTTTTCATACATTGTTCCTCAATTGAAATGCATAGCTGGCAACCTGTCATTTTGTTAACTGTACAAATCTCAGCTACTTGTCTCATATCCTAACCACCTGTACAATGACAAAGCCTGCTTCTGGCTTCTGTCCTCAACAAGCTTGCCTAATGTAAGGAGATATCGATCTGAGAGGTGCTTTATGTGGAAGCACTCTCAGCCACACAAAGACAAAAGGTCAACAGAATGGCACACAGGTATGCAGTTGATTCTATTAATCTGCAAGAAGCACACTTCAAATCACTGTGAAGTCAAGTGATTGGGCTGTTAATCTCCAATTAAAGAGCAGAAGACCTTTAGCTTACAGGAGTTTCTAAGCAACAACATTTTGGTGCCTATTTTGATTCCAGACTTTGAGTTGTAGTACCACGTGTTGCTGCTCATCCTATCGTTCATAAACAACCAGAATTTGCAGTTTAACTTTATTAAGACTGTCTGATGTCTTGTTCACTAAGCACTCTAAACTGAATTGAATGTGCAAGATGTAACAGTACTTCTCATGTTCAATATACATTTATGAAAATAACAAATGGATAAAGCATAAGATAAAAACAAGCTGGATGTTTAAGGGACCTGAAATCAATGAATAGCTAAATATATGTAACATGATCGCCATTAACTTTCTAGTATCCTCTAATTTAGTGGTTTGTCGGTTTTATTTACCATCAAAAAATATAGTCCAGTTACCATAAACATAAGGTGGAAAGAGAAGATAAAACTTGATAGTTACTGCTAAATTAAATATATTTGTGTTGGCCTATCTTTGACTGAACAGACTTTATCTCAAATACTATTGGATGAATTGCCATCACATTTGGAAAAGGTATTCGTGGTTCCCAGAGGATGAATCTTAATGACTTTGGGGATCCCGTGACTTTTCCTTCAGCGCCAACATGAGGTTGACATTTGTGGTTTTGAGTGAAACATCTACACCACTATCGGATGGATGAAATTAATGTTGGTACAGACATCCATGTCTCCCTCAGGATGGATTATAATAAGTCTGTTGATCCCCTGACTTTTCACCAAGCGCCAGCATCAGGTCAAAACTTCAGCTCATTTACAGCTGCACTCTATGTTTAGAGCTAATAACCAAATGTTTGTACGTTTGCATGTGTAGTGACTATTTCCACTCAATATCACTGGTGTTATCTCCATTCACGACAAAGTTCTTGGCTTCCAATACCATTTTATTTATTTTTACTTATAGAAAAACAGAATGTGCACATCTACACAGTCAAAACACTGTTGCTTTTTCCCATTCCCAATCACCCACACCTGTGCCGGTGAGGTCACCTTAATACCCTGTGCCCCATTGCGCCATCTAGTGATCAAAACAAACAACAAAAACATACAAATGGGCACAACAGCATGCATACCTAAACATAGAAACATTATACCTTGTACCTTGTATACCTTGCGTTAACTCTATATCTGTAAGCATGTTGGTATTTTCTAACTTATCATATCTTATTAGCTCCTTAATACTTAATATGCATTTCATTTGAAGTTACATGCTTTATATATATACATGTTTCTCCATGCATTTCCAAATAATAATTTGCCTTCTGGAGTTAAATAAAGCCCATGTTTGTTGAAGAGGAAACTCATATTCTATATTCATATCGCAGCCTAAATACAATCATGCAGATTTTGGTAACATCCCAGCACTGGATATTCTGGGCAGCGTAGCTTTCCTCATGTGGTGTTTGTTTGTAGAAGTCCTCTCACCATCTGTGCACCCCTCCCCCTTCTGTTTTATCACGCCTCTAGGTGCAGACTCCAACAGTGAGTACAGCTCAGGGAGTGGGGTTCTCCTGTCGGACAGCAGGGAGACGTCCCTGTCCTCGGTCCACTCAGTGCCTCTCCAGGATCAAGAGGAGAGAAACTACAATGGAAGAAGCTCCCCAGGAAACTTGTTTAAAGAGCTGGACTGGGAGCAGGAAAACAGAGAGGACGAGCAACTTCATGAAGACTCCAACCAGAAGAGCCCAGAGGCTCCCGCTCAGGAGTGGTGGGGGGCTGTTGGAGAAGAGGAGTAAAAGTTCAGTGAGGCATATTAGTTCAGGAAAGAGAGGAAAGGATTGAAATGTAAGAGGTTTGGAAGTTAGAATTAGAAAAATGTGTCCCTCTTTGGATCTATGTCCAAAAGGAGAGACCTTACAGGATAAGGGAGGCAGTCTTTTGAACACTGAACAAATCTCATGAAAAGAATCAAACAATTATTGTGAATGATTTGTCACAGTCCCTGCCTTGAAAGCTAATTATTAAAAAAGTGTTTTTAATATTTTTTAAAATAGCTTGTGAATTTCTGGTTTCTTTTTAAAATGTTTTATAAAAAGGTACATTTTCTTAAACAGCGCTTTAGTTTTTAGCTATATTACTCAAACAGCAGTGAATCGTACATGTAATACTAAATGCATTTAGTGAGTACTTCCTGCAGCAGGAAAGTGTATTCAGGACCAGCTCTAAGGAAAACTACAGTGACCGTGTTCATTGTAATAAGAGACTTGTCACACAGTCCAAAATAAGCAAATATAACCAGATTTATTAAATACTCTTTTAATTACAATTTTAAAATGAAAGTATTATAAACTTCCAGATGTTTCTGACAGAAAAAAAGCAACTAGAAATCTCCAGAACTTATCCAGGTAGCCTGAGATTCTTGAAACATTTATACAGAAAGTATGTCTATGTTTGTCCAAATGACAAGGAATGAACTGAGGACCTGTTATAAAAACATTTTACTTGAAAAGTCTTTAGTTTGCTGCACTGAGGCTAACCATTACTTGCATTTTAACCATTTTTGTTTCACAGACAAATGGTATTCTGTTACAATTGCATAGCTCTGTTGTTGATGCACATGTTTTGATATAAATGTTACCTCATCTGCAAAGAGGAAAGTGTGAGTGAATGCATAATTGCCTTATTTGTGAACTCCTCCCGAGCCCCTCTGAGATTGTGGACACGATTATGGTGAGTGTGTGGCCTGCTTCCATTATCAGTCAGAAAAGAGATGACAAGGCAAGTGAACTAAACATTAATATTAATTCCAATTACACTGAAAGCAAATAAATCTCTGTGTGAGTCTACCTTTTATTTACAGTCACTCTACACCTGCCCTCTCGCATCCCTAAATTATTCTCACACTCTTATTCCCCACTCATTCTTTTCCTGTTCAGCCATCTTATTATTTTACTTTCTGCCATCCATTTTTCTTTGCACATGCTAATTTCTGCTTGTTTTTCTTTCTACTTTTGATATTTTCTCTTCCCCTCTGAAATAAATATGGCAGGTGCATCCTGAAAGACCACCTGATGACCCACACAGCCTATAATGTGTGTCCAGTCATATCAATATCCTTTATCTTCCAACAAACAAGAGATCACAGCTCACCTGGAGGGAGCAGGCAGCTCAAAGGGATGAGCATGTGTTTTATCAAGAGGAAAGCCATATATGGTAGTTTCAACTAAAGCCATTGCTTATCTGAGCTAAGATATGTTCATTTGCATTCTCCAGGTTTTCACTTGGACAGAAATGAGTAATACTTGAAAGCTTTTGTCGGTCCTTCGCTTTACTGTTGCGTGTTTGATATGACTAAAAACACCACCAATAAGACTCTCTTTAAATATAACTGTGGCCTTACATTGACAGATAAACTGTCATCCTGCAAAGGCTACACAAAGAGGCCCTTAGGGAAGAGAGGGTATTTTATACAAGAAAACTAAAGCTATTAAAGAAGTGATATTCTGTCTATGAGTTTGCATTTACAGCTATTATAAATGCACAATCATTATGCATTAATAGATATTAAAATCCAGATATTCATTAATTCAGCTCTTTTGGCTCACTGAGGCTCTTAGGTGCATATCCATTTAGAGATCTGTTTGAGTTATCTTTAAAACTTGAGAACAATTTGGACAGAACTAAGTTATCCGGATAAGCCAGTAAACCTTATATTTGACCAAACCTCGTAAGGATGTTTTTTTGTCTGAATGTAATTGTTTTTACATTATCCTTCAGTGTGGTCTGATACAAATGCATTAGGGATATTTAACTACCCAACTCTTCTATCAAATGCTTGTTTAACTATGTTCTAACTCCACATGGAAACCTTTAAAAATAACAACTTGTTACAGAATCACTCATTCATTTAGTTCATCTGAATTGACCTTGCCTCAGAGACCTAATTGGCAGAATGCTGAGCTTTTACCTGGCAAATGTTCTACAAATCAGAGGATCTATAGTGGGCGTTTACATCGGTAATCTAAATGCTGATTGCTCTAAAGATCGGCTTACATTCCCACAGGATAAAGTTAATGGAGATGAATGAGCTTTAAGAGTATAAGAGTGAAGCTCCGAGATGCTTTTTGGATAGCTGTGGTGGTACTCCTCTCTTTCTTACATGTACATAATGGGGTAGTTACCTGCTGATGCTGATCTGTGAATTAATTGTAGGCTATGAGTGCAAACAGGTGGTGCATAGGGAATCCAAACATAGACTTACAGTAAACCTTGATTTAAATACAGCATTATTGGTATGAAACAGTTATTAACTCAGCGGGTAAATGATCAGGGCTGGTCGTGCCCTTGCAGTTGGGAGGGTATTAAAGGGTTGTTTTAGTTCAATATACCTTGTTTGTTATTGTTAAGGATCCTTCAATATTCACAAAAGTAATAGTTGTGATCTGAGAGGTGTTGTCATCACCTAAATGGATTGGCTATTTTCTATTTGTCTGAATGCTTGTTTTTCTTTTAGCAATGTTAAGCTATTTGTTGTGTTCCCAGCAATACCTTATGATACAATGGTGTCATATTGTAATAAAACAAAATCATCCTCTAAGCAACAATGACCACTTGAAGCTGCCACAGAATTATGAAAAACAAACAAAAAGCAGGTTAATGAAATGTATTGTGTTCTCCTCAAAATACAGAAATATGACTCGGAAAAACCTTTTCAATTTACAGATGTTGGTATCTGTCTTGAAATCTTTAAATAGAAAGCAGTAGTTCTAATAAAAGCCAAGATGACATATTTACATACTTTTGAGTCTCAACAAAACATAAACACAACAGAGAGGAACACTAAATTGTTGATTTGAGACCGATTGTTTTGTCATTATGCCTTACCATCTAACCATCAGAAGCCCACAAAGAGGGCAGCCGTCAGACTGATGGGCGCTGACCACTGGCTAGAAACACTTTGTTTCTGTCCTCTATAATTTCACTCAACATTAATTGGCATGTTCCTATCTGAACTTCGCATTCCACCCACATGCTTTCAACTATTGTAATATAAACTACAAATCTATTTCAGGAGGAAATTGGTCCCTTTGTGTTAACTGAGGGAATTATGCAAGCAGGACCCGCTCGTCATTTTAATTGCCAGTGTACACAGAGAAAGTTCTTATTTTCCCAACCTCTAACCACAAAGTATTGTTAGTGTTGCTTTGGAGCATTTGAAAATGGTGAGATGTTTTTTGCAGTGTGGGTGAGAGGAGGGTGGCAGCAAGGCGACAAAGTGGGGAAAGTTGGTGGTGCTTCAGTGTGTGAAGATGACAGAGAAGGTGAGCAATGAAGCTAAAAGAAATCTGAATGAACTTCTTGTTTTTGCCTGAATATTTCCAGATTGAATTGTAACTAGTTGTGTTGTGGAGAACTGGACACATAACCCAAACTAGTGCAGCAGACCTTTTTTCTGCACTCCTCACTAATTATGCAACAGGAATGTTGCTGATGTAATATTGTTTTTGATGAGGAAAGGAAAGTGCAGTTTGTCGCATGAAGTACTATCTTTGCTGAATGATTTGCTAGAACAGCACATTGTAGTTCACCTTAGTGAGACTTTGAAGTTTCACATTGCTGGCTGTGCTTTTAATTAGTAAATACATGTCGCTGAATCAAAACAGTGGGTTTTTTCATGGTTATTTTGTGGCAACACTTTTGGACGAATTTGTTCTTTTCTGTATTGATTCAACCTTGAGCTCAAGTAGGCCTTCATTCTATGGACTACACTGCAGATTAAAGGATGTAAACAATTTAGCTTTTGAGTTTTGTTTTTGTGGGATTTTTCAGCCTTTTCAGTAAAAAAACAACTGTGCAAGTTCCCTCTTGAGTTTGTGAAGTGCCACTCATCTGGAGTGCTATTCAATTTTAATGAGATGGAGGTGAATGAGGAGCTCAGCCTTTATTGAGGGGGAACAAGTTGCTCATTTCCGAAAATGCATTTTCCTAAAAGAAAAGCTACAATGCATTTTTTGTGTATTGGGATTTTTTAAAGAGGGTTAGAGGTTATCATTAAAAGTTAGGTCAACATCATACTGTACAAGATCTGTCCCCAAAGTGTTAACAAAAAAGACCATGTGATGAAGGATGTGTGCTTTTAAATAATGCACTTTCGTCATTGTGTTCATTCTTTACCCCTGCATACATCCGGCACACGTTTTTATTCAGTATTGTTGAGTTGTTCCAATGTTAGTGGTGTGAGTGCCTTGCAAACAAACGATGTGTGAAGCACAGGGAGGATTCTGCAGCGTCCACTCGTTGCACTCATTAAAGCTGTGGAGCTGCAGAGAGCGGCTGCATGCGCGGGAGGATTCCTCATAGCTCTTGTTTTGAAGTTGAATTGATTCACCACCCGAAGAGAAACGACTACACATAGGATATTTAATGCAAAACAAAAGTGAAATCACAGGTTAGTTTAGATACACTTGCCTCTCAGTCCAGGCAGTAACATAGGCTTTAGAGGAGAATCCGTCGCCCATCATTACAATCGATGCGAGTGGACACATGAGCATTGGGCGGTGGGCTGTATAGCTCCGGTCTGAAGGCTTGCCGTGCACACGGTGGCTGGCAGGCACTAAGTTGAAGAGCACCGAAGGAGTTTGTCAGACTTCGCCATTGTGAAAACACTTCAGAACCAAGGACAGATCCAAACAGCTGCCTGGCAAACATGCTCAAAGTGAACAACATCTGGACTCTGCTTGTCACTTAAAGCTCTGCACGTTGTATTGTCGCTCGACTGGAAAAGAGACCTGCAGATAAATCCGGCAAGATACATCTAGTGCTACTATAAGGTAAGACATGGTCACTTAATAACTTCGAATTTGACATAGTAGTATGATTTCCCCACGTACAGAACACTCTTTGTTTCTGTATTTGCCTGTTCCACGTAGCTACCTATGCATGTTTAATGTTTTTCTTCTTATAGTTAGATTTGATGCAGAATCCAACAACCTTAACTTTACTGCCATTAAATCCATTATAATACAATTTGATATATTTTTCCAAACATGTGCATTTTTGAACAATATGCACAACCAAAGAATATATCTGAACTTTACCCATTAGTGTTCTTCACATAAAGACATCCAACACCAGTGTGACTGCATAGGTTGGGATACATATGTGAAGTTGTTATAGGTAATTAAGCAGCACAGTCTCAATTGTCTTCAAATGTATTGCTTGTTTTCCTTGAGCCAATCAGAGCTTTTGTTTTCAGACAGCTCCCTTAACAATGTTATTGCATCCAGGTGTGTGAGTAATTGTTTTCTTCAGTTTGCAAGATTCACGAATGGTATAATCTGATTTGGCATAATAGACAAACCCACAATCCCATACATCAAATAGCTGATAGATCACACAGGATGTGATGGAGCGAGATTTCTCTCAGAGGTGGACAGTGATAGATTGATTATTATAAGTTACTGTAATGCCACCAACTGTCTGCATGAATTAGATTATCATGTTATCATTAGATGGTGCCACCAACCTGGTGTAGCCTCACTCATTCTCATACCTGCACTTTTTTCTCTTGCCAATTTAAACACACA